CCCAGCGGGGACGTACTTGCATACGGGCCTAAGACTGAGTGCTATAGATAAAGCACATTAAATTTGGACGGCTTGCACTAACACGATCAAAATCGTTGCGCTTCTATTGGTGACCATTAATGAAACATAAAAACATAAAAAAACATAATAACATATAAACAACACAACTGCCAAAACGATACAAAATTTCATGAAATTATTTGTACCTGTTTTTGACATCATCTGGTTTCGGGGCCAAGAACTATACCGGAGTGCAGCTTCTTGCTGCTCATCATCAGTAGTTCTCAAGGAAGCCAAAAAATTCAAGAAGAGAGATAGCCTAAAGAATTTTAGCGGAATGGAAGGCAGCAAAGTCTAAAAACAAGTTAAGTCAAATTCGTACATTGAAGTGAAATCAAAGCCAACGAGCGGCACACAATTGCTCGCAGCTTCATAGTCGAATGAGTGTCATCCCGTCGTGACCCCAGAGCGCGCTAGCTGCATCCCATGTATCGCGCGGTTCATGTATAGTCGTCCTCCCCCCATTAGATACCTACTGGAAGAATTCGAATTTGAACTAAGCACGCCTGCTGATCTCAAACAGATTTTTTTGTGTTTTCGCGAAGTTACAACCTAATTTTTGAAGGCTGACTGTTTCCTCATTTTGCAATGAAATTGTTGCTTATATTTGAGCGATGGATTGTGTTGCTATGCTCGTTTCTTTGACTACGATTCCAAGTTGAGCTTGGAAAATTGACTAAGTTTGAAAACTGGTGAAATTTTTCTCGGTAAGTCTTGAAGTGCTACTTCATTGAACACTTCATGTCAAAAATTCATGTGCATCGTTTTACCAGAGTAAGGAAAAGAGCATAGTAGTACGAAACATCGTTGAGACAAACAACTCTTTTTGATCACAATCATCATGAAGACAAAAAGAAATCACAATGCAACGACAATAAAACACAAAATAAGACTGCATTAGCTTGAAATGCATTTGACGGTGCGGCGCTCTGCCGCAGCCGACGTGCTTTAGTTCAAATGGTGGACGACTATAAAAGCAAATGTATAGCTGTAGCGAATTCGTATTTACGCATTATAAATGGTCTATCGAGGAATATGTGGCAAAGTTTATTCAAGAAAATTGACATTATTTGAAAATAATGGATATACACCAATCACCAAATGTCATGCCTAGTTCTGTTATTCTTTCTTTGAGTTGTACGTAATCTGAGCAATTCCTATACCGCGTCCCAAAGAAATATGAACACTGTTTAATCGTTAATAACTCTCTTGCTTTGAAGTCTTTCGCCGAGCTTGGGGTACCATGCTGTAGAGCGAGGTTCTTAGATTCACAGTATGGACCGAGTGATCAATCGCTCTTCATTACTGTAGGATTGCGATATGAACTTTCAGCATAAAGCGCCACTGTGAAATGGGCTTTTGGATGGAAAAAATTGCAAAAAATCTGAAAGTTTGTGTAGCAGGGTTTTCAAGAGCTCTGATTCCAGTAAACGACTTTTACTTTTGTTGAGCTCTTCTGATGGTGTAAATTACACTTCTGATGATTACTGGAAAAACAGATCTTAACCCAAACTTAAAGTAACTTATGAAAGACGCATTATACTGGAGTCTAAATACCATGTTTAAAATTAGCGACTTCGATTAGTCGAACAAATAGCTTCTGGCTTGTTTGGTTTTCCTTCTAAGGCAAAAATCGTCTTTGTTTTTCTAAATTTGGTTTTCCTTCTGAGGCAAAATGCGCTTTCACTTTCCTAAAACCGCCCTCTATGGTCACAACATGAAATTACAGTAATAAAAAGTGAATGATGATTCAGCTTATGCTGTGAATCTAAGTTGAGCTATGCTCTACAGAATGGTACCTCAAGCTCAACTTGAATTTGCAATATAAGCCGAATCACCAATCACTTTTTATTACTGTAGGTTTACGGTACGAGCATCGAAGGCAATTTTAGGAAAGTGAAAGCGTATTTTGCCTCAGAAGGACCAAACAAGCCAGAAACTCTTGTACTAGACATATCGAAGTCGCAGTCTCTGAATATGTATTTTCGACATTTGGACTAAAAGAAAGGCATTATTAACGATCAAACAGTGTTCACATTTTTTGACACCCTTTAGGCCCGTATGCACGTACATCCCCGCTGGGGAGGGGAGGGGGATCTGAGAGGGGATGCGTCATATCTCGCTACTTTAGGTATCTTTCTTCTTCCTTTTCTATCTTGCTTATGAAAGTTCTCATACCCTACTACCTGCGCATAATCGATGCCAGGTTACTGGCATAACTGATTAGATTTGTACTATTTTATGTGCTCCCCTGGGAATCCCCAGGGGATCACATAAAATATTAGGTTGTAACAAAATTAATGCAGGTTTTAAATTCCAACCGCAACAAGTCATACACTTGTCATTTCTAATTAGGTTGCAAAGCACCATTCGATAGAGCAAAGCAATCTCTACAAGGTGGCAATCTTGCTTTAGCAACAGCTTTGATCCACCTCGAGTTTCGAGCCAGAAACTAAAATAATTCAACTACCCGAGAAATCGAGAAAAATCATAACTCAATTCATAAGAGACCTAGAAAAATTCTAACTTGCTCACGTAAACACTATTCACATAAGACATCTATATACGCCTTTGCCGTATTTTTTTTCTCTGTTAAAAATCAAGTAAACGGAAATTTTCGTGCATTTGCCAAAGTGTTGCTGTGCCGTTCCCACATAAGTGGTTGTATTCTACATATCTGTAGAAGTACAGACGTAAATTTTCAGCTCTCTACAAGCTTTAGTTCTCGAGTTAAATCGAATACAGTTTTCTCTAGTGAAATGGGCCAAGCTAAAATTCAAATTCCTCGAGAACTAAAGCTTGTAGAGAGCTGAAAATTTGCGTTAGCACTTCTGTAGGTCTGCAGTATACAACTACCTATGTGGAAAAGGCACAGCATCACTTTGGCAAACGCACGAAAATTTCCGTTTTCTTGATTTCTAACAGAGAAAAAAATACGGCAAAGGCGTATATAGATGTCTTATGTGAATAGCGTTTACGTGAGCAAGTTAGAATTTTTCTAGGTCTCTTATGAATTGAGTTATGATTTTTCTCGATTTTTCGGGTAGTTGAATCATTTTAGTTTTTGGCTCGAAACTCGAGGTGGATCAAAACTGTTGCTAAAGCAAGATTGCCACCTTGTAGAGATTGCTTTGCTCTATCGAATGGTGTTTTGCAACCTACTTAGAAATGACAAGTGTATGACTTATTGCGGTTGAAATTTAAAACCTGCATTAATTCTGCTACAACCTAATAGTATTAATCTAATCAGTTATGCCAGTAACCTGGCACCTCTCATTTTCAAAGTCATTTATGTTCCTGAGAAATCAATAAAAACGCCGCAAAATTGTAATGAGGATATACTACGGCACTGCTAAGCATGTTTGAAGCAAAAAATAAGTGAAATCTCAGGATCGAAATCTTCGGTAATCCCTGGCTCAAAAGCTAGGGATCATCAAAAAATTCACAATTTTCAGATTCCATTTTTTCTGTCGAGAACATGCTTAGCAGTGCCGTAGTATATCCTCAGTACAATTTTGCGGCGTTTCCATTGATTTCTCAGAAAGATAAATGACTTTGAAAATGAGAGGTGATCCCCTGGGGATCCCCAGGGGATCACACAAAATAGTAGAATCTAATCAGTTATGCCGGTAACCTGGCATCAATTATGCGCAGATAGTAGGGTATGAGAACCTTCATGAGCAAGATAGAAAAGGAAGAAGAAAGATACGTAAAGTAGCGAAATATGGCGCATCCCCTCTCAGATCCCCTCCCCTCCCCAGCGGGGATGTACGTGCATACGGGCCTTATATTCTGACAAGGGAATGGTCAGAAGTCGAAGTGGCCAATCCATACAATCTGCATACCATTCGATGCAGCATAGAATGCTGATTCTAAATCTATCTTCCTTATCTGCAGAGCTCCTTTGTAGGCGAAGTTATGAGCAGCTTTACTGCGAAAAAGTCGTGTACAAAAATTGCGAATTTAGTCACATCATTGCTTTTCTTAGCTCACCTTTAGGGATGGGCCATATGAACTGACCTAGTTGCATGTTTTAGTCTAACACTGAGTCGAGGATGGCTTTGTACGGCCAAGTTTGCGCTTTGCACGCACAATTTCTCAGCAAAATAATGGCCTTCAACGGCCTATCCTTTCGTCCACAGATAATGAAGACATATTTAGAGTCAGCGTTTCATGCTGCATCTAATGGTATGCAGCTCGTTTGAATTGGCCACTTCGACTTCTGACCATTCCCTTGTCAGTATTTCTGTAGCACAAGTATCAAAGAACATGTATCTTGGCATATTAAATCCCCTTGTGGTATCTATTGACCTTGAAACTGGTCGCATCTGTTTTATTGTACACCAGTGCGACACCTCTGCTTCGCAGAGGCTCGCACTGGTCCTACTACCTAACCGCCTTACTCATTCTCTTTAATGATGGGATTGAAACTCACCGCAATGCCGACCGACTATCACAAATAAAATGTAAACAACTACTGTGAAATCGGCAATTTCGCGTGAAGAGACTTTCCGCAGAAGAACAAACGCAAGTCTGGAAAATCAAAATTGGACCATTTGAGCAATTTCAAATTTTTTCCATTACGCATTCAATTTTTCAGCCCAAAAAACGCTCATAACTAACTCGGCGTCCAGAGGAGCTCGGCAGATAACGAAAACAGATTTGAAATCAGCGTTCAAAGCTCTTCAAAATTGTGTATGACTTATTTGAAAAGGCCACATCGACTAATCGGACTTCCCTTGTAACTATGAAAGCAAGTTCTTCACTGTAAGTGAGAGCAATCAACTCCGTTCTGGAGCTCCTGTATATTCTACGCAAGCCATTATATTCCCCTTATGAAGTGTAGTTGATCTCAAGTACACAGTAGTAAAGCTGCAAACTTTATTTCAAAAATTTGGGAAGTGTTGAACTTTCCCTGATTAGGCGGAAAGACTCATGAATGGATTGTGTGGTAACAAGAAAGGATTATGATCCAGGAGCCACGCAGAGTCCAAGAGAGCGGTCGCAGGACGTTCCAGCCGGGCACATGGTGCACGTAGTTCCGGGTATGTAAATCCTTTCTTCGACTTTGTTTCCACTAAGAAAGTAGAGCGTAGAACAACCAAACCTGCATCATTATGAAAATACTCACGGTGGGCTATAGAGGCATACGGCATGCCATTGGTCACCACATTCTTGAACCGTGCAACCCATTTTGTTCGTGTTAGCCCAAGCCATCTAAATTTCGTTGTTTTTATCTAGAGTGCTCAGTTTTAGAATCAATGCATTCTTACCCTAGTAAAGGTTCTCACTTGAAGACTTTCATGTTTGGCTCTGAAATAACATTGCAGCCCAATAGGCTCATCTAGTCTCACCCGTTTCCACCACTCTTTTATACTCTGCAAACTGCAACACTTGAAATTGAGAGAACACTAAGAGGCTACCGACCGCGGCCATGGCGTCCACTCTAGGCGCTTCGGCAGATGCGACATCTGATTTTGGAATATAATATCTGTTTTCTTGATAATCCGCGGTGTTTGCTTCACTTCCCAACGCCTCGCACGCCTCAGCACGGTCGCGTGCTATAAGTTCAAGATCGCAGTCATATCTCTGTAAAATGGTTAGCGTAACAGAAGAGTTGGAACTATGTGTGACTCTTCACCAACCAATTTCTGCATATTCGCAGCTGTAGGCATGTAGACACCGTTCCTCTTTTCCACTTGTCCCTGGGCAAGTACTGATCTGAACAATGTAAAGTTCAAGCAGATTTTAGATGGAGTACAGCATGATTTAGCATTCTTTTGCTACATTTCGATCCTGTCCAGGGACATTGAATGTCACCATTTACAACAGTTTTTTTTCATTATGCCAGAGCTGAACTAACCTACGCCAGTTAGTCATATCAAGAGCCTTCTTTCTGATCTTGTCGTTCGTACGTCTATTATTTGGGCACATCTGGTTGGCTAAAAACACATTTAGTATAGAAATGAATCCATCACATTTTGCGAAAGCACGGAGAAGGTCGCTTCAGAAAAAAAGAAATATCACATTTGTTTCAGAAAGTTCTGACAAATTAGTTACTCTTTTAACTAACAATAATGAAAACTACAAAGAAACTTACTCGCTGGAGGTACAGGAGCTTCGGTTGTTTTTTCACCAGCAGCAGTTCCACCTGTTGTTGTTTCACCAGCGCCAGTTCCACCTGTTGTTGTTCCGCCACTACCAGCTGCTGTGGTTTCACCTGTTTCTGCTCCCGTAGTCTCTGCGCCTGTGCCTGTTCCGCCTGTTGTCGCTCCTTCGGCAGCAGTAGTGCTTCCTTCTGCGGCGGTAGAACCTCCTGCACCGGTAGTCTTCCCTCCTGCGGAGGTGGTGATTCCTCCGTCTCCTGGTGTAGTAGAAATTGCTGAAGCAGGAGGATTTGTATCTGTAGTTGAGGCTGCGTCCTCAGATCTTACTCCTTCGAAAACCTAAATGTATGCATATAATGCTGGTTGAGAAACCCTAGAAAGGCCATTGTTAAGTGCTTACGAGTAGAGCGATCAGAAGAATTGCTAGATAACGCATTGTTGATTGAACTGCGCTGGTAATAGTTATTCGTCATCGCTTATATATACGTATGTACGTGTATCTGAGGGCTTTGTGTACGTGCGTCGCCGTTGGCACTATTGAAAAAGTGAAAGTTTTATAGAGTCAATGCTTTTGTATAGGTTTTTTTCCAATTGAATGTTTCGTAAACTAAAAGTCAGTAGTTTGGTATGCGTTGTTTGCGTCATTTCATCTCATGACCACAATCTCGTAATCGAACCTTCGCATTAGTAATGTTAGCATCGGCCATCACAATTGGAAAAAGCATCTTTCTAGAAATGTTTCATTTTCCCCAACATTTTCTGACTGCTAAGGGAAGAGCCTTTGTGATAAGCTCTAAGTACAATACCGCTCATACTTCGTCAAAAAAGTCGCCGGACTGCGGCGCACTCCGCCGGAGTGCGCTGCAGTGTGCCGGGTACGACGCAGTCTGCTAGAGTGCGGCGGAGTGCGAAGCACATCACTAGAGTTAGTCGGAATCCGCGTCGCATCGCCATATCTCGCTTCAGAATGGACGAATTCTGAATCTGAAGACACCGTTCGATTCAGCTCGGCGAGACGCATCATCTAGTATATAAGAGTGCCACAATCTAGCGGGATATGATAGGTATACGCTAGACGGTAATTTTTTGGCTCAATTAATTTTTGTTTGGTGGATTGTTCAGTGTACTGATGACAGTATTGCCATTGATTTGTTGCAGATGACACATAGAAAGTATTCTGTAGGAGCATGGTAGAGAGTCAGTCTGATCGAATTTGCTCTAAAATCTGCTCAAGATCACGATACCGCTCACAAATGCGCAAAATTTCCGTGAACTCCGTGGAATTTCGGGATTTTCTCCAAAGTCCGCGATATTCCTGGAAGTTCGCGACATTTTAGGATCCGCGGAATCACGGGGATCACGCAACGCCATAACTTTCTTCGCAATAGATATATTTCAAATCCGAAAGCAGCATTTTGTTCGGATCGTCAAGGAAAATCTTTTGATGTACAGCGTGCCTTCGATATTCCGTTTCCAGTTTTCTCGGATTTTTCTGTGGAGGTCCTTTCGCAAGGATGTAAAGCAGCGTATGTGTGACATAAAAGATTCCAGTAAGCACTTTTCGATATTACTGTTCTTGTGACGTTCAAAACTAGCTGCAGACTGTCTTCGATTTTACATGAAAGAGCTTTCGGAATGAGTAGTTGTTTACATTGCGAGAATCTGCGAAGCAGAGGTGTCGCACTGGTGTACCTTGAAACAGTTGCGACCAGTTTCAAGGTCAATAGATACCCGCAAGGGAATTTAATATGCCAAGATACATATTGTCTGATACTTGAATAGTTTTTTAATTCCTTTACGGTTTTGGTAGTCGCCATGAAAACAACAATTACCGTAAGCTACATCTTTGTGCAAAATCTCGTTAAAAGCTCTAGTAAAACCTTGGCAAATTGACCATTTACCAATTGTTTTTGGCGCCGTTTTTGATAATTTGACCAGTTTTTTGGGCCTAAGTCCATGGCTTGCACATCTACTTGCCTACACATGCATGACTCGGCAAAAAGCGGAATTCGATTTTTGGGCCAATTTTGCGGGCCAGAAGCGAAGTGGTTTCGTTTGACGCTCAATTTTTGAGGGATCCACTCAACGTATCCGCTCGTGCTTTAGCATGTTAGAGAGTTGCCCTGTGCAAAATTTGGTTAACAATTATTGTTAGAGACTTGCCCTATGCAAAATTTGGTTAACAATTATTGTTAGAGACTTGCCCTATGCAAAATTTGCACACACACACACACACACACACACACACACACACACACACACACACACACACACACACACACACACACACACACACACACACACACACACACACACACACACACACACACACACACACACACACACACACACACACACACACACACACACACACACACACACACACACACACACACACACACACACACACACACACACACACACACACACACACACACACATACACACACACACACGTACACACACATACACACACATATACACACACACGTAAACACCCTTAGCGCTTCATTGTAAGTAATAATACTAAACTTGATCTTGTTTTCGCAAACTACCATGTTCAAGTTTGTATCAATTGAACTAAAGTTGAATCTGTCGATCTCTAACATGAAGGGTGTATTTCTCGCAAACTTTTTCCGAACTGTTATGCATCGTTAGAGACGTGTAAAATGTCATCTATGTATTTATAGGCAGATTTATATAGGGTATTGACATGGGTTCGTATTCTTGTCAGCCTCTTTATGAACTCGTATTCCATACAATGTAAGGTCAGCCATTTGAGGGCTGCACAAAGCACCTTGACATACAATACCGCTCACAGAATGTGCAAAATTTCCGTGAATGTCGCGAAATTCCCGAAATTTCGCGAACCTTCGCGGAATTCCTGGAATTCTTCGACATTCACGGAAATTTTGCACATTCTGTGAGCGGTATTGTATACTTTACCTGTCTTTGAATAACGCCATCAAGAAATAAATAGCTAGACTCCAAAAGATTTTACCATACCCAGGGTGTCTCAAAATTATATGCCTACTCTTTGTTTGTTAATAACTCTCATGTCAAATCTTCTAAGAAACTTTGAGTACCGCTTTGTAGATCTGGCTTCATCTTAGTACAGTATAGAGTGGATCATCGATCGCTCTTCATTGCCATAGGATTACGGTAGAAACTTAAAGTATATGGTGTTATTGTGAAAAAAGCTGCCGTTTCAAGAGTTTCAAAATAAATGTGAAAACTTGTGTAATAGGGTTTTTGGAGCGAGTTTAACGCTCAACTAGTGCAAGATTACGAGGTTTTCTAAAGGGTATAATCAAACTTTTTAGAACTTTGAAAAAAAGGCCGCTACTGCTTACCTTAATGAAGCATCAAGATAAGTTGCGAACTTCACATATAGAATCGGCAATTCTATTCAGCCCATGCGAAAATTTTCAGGCTGTTTTGTTCTCTTTCTGGGGCAAAATATAGCCTTTCAAGGCTCAAATCCCTCCAATAAAGAGAGATGCGTAGTTCGTTCTATACTGTGTCTAAGCTGAAGCTAGCTTTACAGAACAATACCTTAACCTTCTCGAAAGACTTCATTACAAGAGAGTTATTGACAAACAAACAGTAGGCACATTATATGGACACCCCGTATATGAGGTGGGTCCGAAAGTTCGTGCCAATTTTTGGACCTATGATGTTTCTCTGAAACTTTAACTCATGGTTTTACCTACTCTGAAAATTTGTTGTTTTTCCAAACTTTTGGAAATACTGACAACAATCAGATGGAGTGAACAAAACGCAATGTTGTAAAAAATTTTTGGCATCGATAGCTGGCTTTTGAAGATTTTTGAGAATGTTTTTCTGATGCTATCAGTTTCCTAATTTGAGCATCCCAATCCTCTAGAACATCACAGCTAAGGCCTCGGGCATACTTAACGCGATCTCAGTCGCCACGCGATCTGGCAGTTTGCCAGATTCCTTCAAATTCAACACTGACAGACTACAAACGCAGAGCGTGTGTAAGTTCCTTGGGCTAATAAAATCTTATCTTCTGTACATTTGAAAGGCGCTTACGACGAGTTATGGACAGTCGGAGCATTGCCAAATTGCATCGCGATTAAAATCGCGTGAAGTATGCTCGAAAGCTAAGGTGTCATTCGATGCAGCTTCTTCTCCTCTTCTTGACAGATGCTTTTTCTTTTTGATTCGGTCAAGAACTATACCGGAGTGCAGCTTCTTGCTGCTCATCATCAGTAGTTCTCGAGGAAGCCAAAAAATTCAAGAAGAGAGATAGCCTAAAGAATTTTAGCGGAATGGAAGGCAGCAAAGTCTAAAAACAAGTTAAGTCAAATTCGTACATTGAAGTGAAATCAAAGCCAACGAGCGGCACACAATTGCTCGCAGCTTCATAGTCGAATGAGTGTCATTCCGTCGTGACCCCAGAGCGCGCTAGCTGCATCCCATGTATCGCGCGGTTCATGTATAGTCGTCCTCCCCCCATTAGATACCTACTGGAAGAATTCGAATTTGAACTAAGCACGCCTGCTGATCTCAAACAGATTTTTTTGTGTTTTCGCGAAGTTACAACCTAATTTTTGAAGGCTGACTGTTTCCTCATTTTGCAATGAAATTGTTGCTTATATTTGAGCGATGGATTGTGTTGCTATGCTCGTTTCTTTGACTACGATTCCAAGTTGAGCTTGGAAAATTGACTAAGTTTGAAAACTGGTGAAATTTTTCTCGGTAAGTCTTGAAGTGCTACTTCATTGAACACTTCATGTCAAAAATTCATGTGCATCGTTTTACCAGAGTAAGGAAAAGAGCATAGTAGTACTTATTTATTTATTTATTTATTTATTTATTCATACGCTCTATGGCGTTCCTTACAAAAAAAAAACAAGAGGAAAAAAAAATACACACACAGTAAATCGAACAACCCCAGTCAAGGTCCACCGTGCCGTTGGGTCCATACCTTTAAATTGGTTAAGAAGTATGTTTGATAGAGCTTGCATGTGACTGCTCTGGACTACAATTGTCATAAAGATGTGATCATGGAGATGGTACCCATGCCCCCATTACTGCCAGCAAAACGTCCCTGAGATACACTATCTAACTCAGGATTGCATGGTGGATATACTCCCACCGCATGAGGCTAATAGGAAGAGTAGTTACTCGAGAATACTTGATTAATAAGAAGTGTTGTAATGGAACATTGTAATCGAGAAGATAATAGGTTGTTGCAAGTTGTGGAGGTGGTGATCCTTCATACTCGTACGCTAGCAAAGTGCTCTCGAAATACCAAAGTAAGCTTGGGCTTGGCTTGGTCAGTAGAGTAGCAGAAAAACCTTGCCCAAAAGAATTCCGGGGAGAGACCAATGCTCCGAGAGAAAATCAACAAAATTCCGCGTTAATAACTCAACTAGAGCAAGTCAGCAAGCATTAAAGGTTGGGAAAAGGAAGA